ATTGGCAAGTTCTCTTATGAAAACTAGTTACTAGAAATCCTGCCAAACTAGATCATGACATTTTCCTTCTAAATGTAACGGAGGGCATTGTGTTGTTATCTGCTAGCCTATGGGGCAAGATCCTTAGCTGGTGTAAATTGGTGGGTCTCTGTTGAAGTCAGTGGAGCTGCAGTAATTAACAGCCGCTGGAGATCTGGCCCGTCATGTTCAACGATGTGTCAGTAATAGAACGTGACAGTAAAAAAGGAGTAGATATTATTCTTTATTATTTATATTATCATAGAGCAGGGGTCGGCAACCTCTGGCACGCGGCTCGCCAGAGAAAGTACCCTGGCTGGCCGGGCCAGTTTGTTTATCTGCCACGTCGGCAGGTTCGGCCGACCACAGCCAGCACATCCCTCGGCCCACGCTGCTTCCCGCAGCCCCCATTGGCCTAGGATGGTGAACCGCGGCCAGTGGGAGCCACGATTGGCCGAACCTGCCGACATGGCAGATAAACAAACTGGCCCGGCCCGCCAGAATGCTTACCCTGGCGAGCCGCGTGCCAGAGGTTGCCGACCCCTGCTCTATGATAATATAAATAATAAAGAATAATATCTACACCTTTTTTACTGTCACGTTCTATTACTGACACATCGTTGAACATGACGGGCCAGATCTCCAGCGGCTGTTAATTACTGCAGCTCCACTGACTTCAACAGAGACCCACCAATTTACACCAGCTAAGGATCTTGCCCCATAGGCTAGCAGATAACAACACAATGCCCTCCGTTACATTTAGAAGGAAAATGTCATGATCTAGTTTGGCAGGATTTCTAGTAACTAGTTTTCATAAGAGAACTTGCCAATGTCAATTAGAAAAAGCTTATATAGATGATAACTCACTCAATGATTTCCTGTATTCACCATTAACTTCTGTGCTTTATTGCCTAATGCACGTTTATCTATTTCTCCGGTTCCGCATTCTTGCTTGAATCAACATGCCACATTGATGATAACGTATCTTATAAACTGATGTGAAACCCAGTGACTAAGGGTGGAGTTCTGCTTTAAACAAATCATTTAAGCATGTGAGTGATTTCACTCATGTGAGTAAAGCTGCTCCCATGCATGCGTGTTTGCAGGATTGAGCCCTAATATTTCATACAAAGGCCTTGATCCTGCAAAACACCTATATATGGACTTAAAATTACGCAGATGAGTCTTACTGAAGGCCAAGAGGAGTATTCACATGCTTGAAGTTCGGCATGAGAGTAAATTTTTTTCAGCATCTGGGCCTAAATAGGTTCCAGAGTGAGCAAAATGAACAACAACAACAACAAAATATCAAACTATCATCTCTTTTTTCTTGCCCAGTTCCACTTCTAAACAAAACCAACACAAAAAGCCAAGTGCTTTGCAGAGTTCTGAATAATAATGATGCAGTAACTCATTCTCTAATCAAAATATCATTATGAGAGTTAGAAATTCTCTCCATAGCCAATCAAGTACTTGTCTTTTACCAATATGATGAAGCTCCTGACAATGGGGGAAAACAACCTACGTTTCAGCAGGAAATGAATCAATGATACAAACTGTAAAAACAAAAAGCTTGAAACTTAAGTGAAATCTATTGATTTACAATATATTTTTGATTTATAACACACCAGTTATTAAATTACAATGTTTTTATTTTGTAGCTCTTAACCACAGTGCTAGATTCTCATTGCTGTCATGAACTAGAGCTTTCAAAATGTAACAAGCCCACTGGAACAGTTATGACTTTTGAAATCTGAAGCACACAAAAGACAAGGATTCAGTTTTTATACAGTGAAATATAATATATTAGTAAAACTATTGGATTATCTAACCCTGAAGGGTATGTATGATAGTTTGTCATTTCATTACAAATTTCTTAGGAAGAAATTTAGTCTAATGGCTTATGACACAACTGAAAAACGGTGATGAAATTACTGGTGTGTCCTGTTTTATGTGGCACATTCAGCTCTTATGCCTCATCTTCACATCAAGTTGGTCTTTAAATGGTTTATAAGCAAAAGATCTTTTGATTAAAAAAGATGATACTGCATCTTTATCAGAAACAAGCACCACAAATGCAAGCCTTTAAAAGCCAAAGCTAAAGTGACCAAGAACGATAATGATAATTCCTGGAGCGATGATTAAGAACAGACTGAACATTCTGCTAGTTATTGAGTGGCAAGCCCAGCCCACTATGGAAAAGCGATTACGTCAGTTTTTCAACACAGTAATAAAACTCACACTGTGACGGTAGAAGGGGTCAACTTTTGTAGGGTATTTGTCAAACTGCAAAGGGATCAAAGCACAAACTAGTTACTTTGTATTTTGTTGTTCATACCTTCGCTTCTGTTGGTAATATCAAAGACTGCCTTTCTATTATTTAGCAACCAACAGAGATAAACAAAAACATAATAAGCACGTTTTGCATAAGACTGTGCTTTGGATTTTGCATCCTTCGGAGTAACACAATGTCTTTATGCAATAGAGGAAAGGAATAGGGACCAGAGAAGCATCACATGTTCCAAGCGCTATAGTATGTTGGGTCAACAGCTTAAATTCATCAGCCTAAATGCTGCCATTTGGTACTTATTGTTAGTTACCAACACACGTTTGAGGAAGGAGGCCATTCTGCCTCTGGCAAAGGTCATCTGGCCTAACAGCATTTTCTTTCCCTGAAAGCTGACATTTTTGTAGTTTGTAATAAAGAATAGAGTTGTGCTCTACTTATCCTCACATTTCTGCCTGGGGTACGCACCATGGGCGGTGCTGGCGTTGGCATGATGGCAGTGGGCGGGATGGCGTGGGGGAAAGGCGTGAAGGTATGCTGGTGTGTATGTTGGTGTGTGTGCTGGTGCTGGTGCTGATGCTGGTGGAACTCGGTCCTCAGGTAGGGCGGTGGCCCCAGAGAGGCCCCACGATCTGCACTCTGGGAGGCCAAAAATCGTGTGTTGAGTTCCTGACGAAGAAGATCTTGCTCTGAAACAAAGAATAAAGCTGTGAGTTCAGGAGCTTTTCTGCAGTCCTCCCTGGTGGTTGCTGGGTTTGGCTGCCAGAACTAAGTTTAGGATTCCCTTATTAGGAGCAAACTATCTTCTCCCAACTACCGCATGACAAAACATGAGGGTCTTCCTTGGATCTTCCCAAAATGCACTGGAGGCAAGAGAACCATTCAATTTCCCCTTTCTCCCAGGGTTTGTCTTCACTGCAAAGTTAACTCGAGTTATAACTTGAGTGTTGTCTCTAAATCGGGACAGCTCCACACACAAAAGTCCTTATCTCAAGTGCTGTGGTGTTTTGAACTAGCGTCGACTGGAAAGACTAAACAGGCTAAAAGTTGACTGAACCTAACTTGTCAGCTGCTAACATGACCCCTCTGTAATATGTATGCGGGCTAACGTCACTCAAGTGAAGATAGTCCTCCAGTGCCTTCCCACAATTCCTCCCATGGCTCCAGGAAAGGGAGAAGTTCTCAGAGAAGGGACTGATGGAGTGGCTCCGCTTACCACAGTGCTAAGAATCATGGCATCCACCCCCAGAAGTCTTAATGCCACACTCGAGTGAGTACAGCACCAGTGTGGACACAGCACCTCAAATATTATATAGCAGTGTGGCTGCTCTCACGCTAGGCTAACTCTAGTGAAGTAACTGAAGTGTAGATAACTCAGGTTAACTCTGCAGCGAAGACAGATGCCCAGAGGGTTCATGTAATGGGAGCTGGCGCACATGCACTCTAACATGATTTTACCATGGTGAGAAAAAAAGAAACATCCAAAATTTAGCCTCCCAGAAATATTCTTTCCCAGGGTGGAAGGAATATCACTGGGACAGGCTGAACTGATCGTTTCCATTTTTAACAAAGCCCTGAGCATGTCATTGGTGGGTACATCCTCTGTCAAACAGCCAGCCCTTGTTCTATTGGTCAAAATAAATAACTTGACTTAAAACCAAGAGCTAGTTTTGTATGTAGTACCACAAAAATGTTTTTTTCCATAACACATCCAACTCTTACCTGAGTAAGTACTACCAGCTGGATGTCCTGCAACCTGCAGTGTCCCTGAAGTCAATGGAGGTGGAGGAGGCAAAGCCGTAGGAGGGGCAAACATATTGGGGTGATGCGGGTGAGCAGGAGGTTGGAGGGTGGGCGTGAAGGTGTGCAATGGACTGTGGCTGGGTAAAGAGAGGGGAAACGGTGAAGCGGAAGGGTGGTGGGATATGTGTGGGGGAGGGGCCTGAGTCTTGGCTGGAGTACTGCTTCTGCTGCTGCTGTTAATGAAAAGAGGTCGGGGGGAATAATTAAGCAATGCAGGAAAAGAAGAAAAGCCTCATCACGCCCCGAACCCCTCCTCGCACACACACTAGAAGTTACTTTTGGAACATGCTAAACAAACGGTAACTTTGTTTATTCCCTTTTATTTCCAATCTACTCTCTAGCTAGAGAAATTGAGGTTGCAAGAGGCTGCGTTCCAAAGTTAAATGTATCAGCCTTGAACAATACATGAATGGCACCCAAAGGAACAATCAACTGTGTACATTTATTACTTCATTGTCAATTCCTTTGTGCACGAATGCTTCTGAACCATTGTTTCAGGTAACTGAAGCTCAAATTAGTGATCTTTACACTAATAAAAACAGTGATCACTAAATAAAATGAAAGATCGTAGACGATGAGAGACGGGCTGGAGAAAATAGTGACGTCTACCTACTTATTGTACAATTAATGACTCCCTCTCTGCTCCCACAATATAAAGCTCAAGGTAGATTCTGCAGCAATAAATATTTGTGTATGTACTGGTTGCAGTTTTTCCCAGTTTAACATACTACAACAAGACTTTTTTTTAATGTCTTAAAATAGCTAGTGCTTGTGTTTTACTTTTCACTATTTCATGTAATAATCATTCACACTTCTGCTGCATGGGACTCTGAAGGAAAACAGCCTGATCCAGTAACTCAAGATCTTGAGCAGTTGTGGGTCAGATTCCACCCCCCCAAATCAAAGCACAGAGCAGCCAAAAAGCTGGTTTAACTGGCTCCAGAGTAGGGGAATCCCAGTTTGGATAGATGGAGGAGGATCCAGTGGTTAGGGCACTAACTTAGAACTGGGGAGATCTAGGGTCAAGTCACTGCTCCACCACAAATTTCCTGTGTGACCTGGACAAATCACTTAGCCTCACAGTGCCTCAGTTCCCCAGCTGTAAAAATGGGATAATACCTCACAGGGGTGTTGTGAGGATAAGTACATTAAAGACTGTGAGGTGCTCAGAAACTACAGTAATTGGGGTCTTAGAAGTACATAAGAGAATATACAGGGCCAGTATAGCAGCTCCTCCTTTGTCATAAGGTCTTCACCCCAATGCAGCAAAGGAGATTAAGCGAACAGTGGTTCTCAAACCAAAGTGGGTCACAACCCCGTTTTAACAGGATCGCCGGGGCTGGCGGTAGACTTGCTGGGCCCAGACTTGAAGCTGACGTCCGAGCCCCACTGCCTGGGGCTGAAGCCAACGCCCAAGGGCTTCAGCCCTGCTGGCGGGGCTCAGGCTTTGGTCCCCCATCCTGGGGGGGGAGGGTCAGGTAGTAATTTTTGTTCTCAGAAGGGGATTCTGGTGCAAAGAAGTTTGAGAACTGCTGAGCTAAAGCAAACTAAGGCCGCTTTACATCTGAATGAGTATCCACACAGGGGTTTAATGTACTTGAACTATGCACCTTTCGTTAATTCCTCTGACCTTTCCTAAGGCCTTGGCTACACTCGCGGATTCACAGCGCTGTGAAGCGCAAGTGTAGTCGTGCCGCCAGCGCTGCGAGAGCTCTCTGCAAGTCCTCCACCTCTCCGAGGGGAATAGCTTGCAGCACTGCGAGCGAGCGTGCAGCACTGCGGGCGCTGATTACACTGGCGCTTTACAGCGACTGCACTCGCTGCGCTCGGGGGGCTGTTTTTTCACACCCCTGAGCGCAGCAAGTGCAGCGCTGTGAATTGCCAGTGTAGCCAAGGCCTAAGTGTCCCGGGCAGACAAGCCCTGAAAAGCATGTCGTCCTACATGCATATTCAGCTAACAATTTGGGCATCTTCGCCACATTTTAATAGGCTTTCCTTTATTGTGTGCAATAGTATATAACAGTTTACCTACCTTAAACTGTTGAGGCTTAAGCTGCTGCTGTTATACGCTGACAAAGGCTGAGAGAGACTCTGTGAGGAAGGGTGAGGCTGCACCAGCGGCAGGTTTTGATGGACAGACTGCAGAGGGGACTGTGGCCTGGGCGGACGTTGTACTTGAGGCTGAGGCGCAGGCGGACGCTGGGCTTCTTCTGGGCCTTGCAGCGGCTGTGAGGCTTGAGACTGTGGAGGCTGGGCAGGAGCCTCCGTACACTGAACCAGTACAGGGCTTGGGGAAGGCGCTTCAGGCTGTGGCTCCAAAAGATGTTGGGCCAAAGGCTGAGAAACCTGAGGACAAGCGTCTTTAGGCACCACAGGCTCGAGTATTGGTTCTTTGTTGCTGTCCTGGCTCTTCTCTTGACTCCTCTCTAAGCCTGATATTTTCGGGACAGCCGGCCCCCTAGCATCTTGGTTGTCATTTTCAGCTAGCGTACTGACACCTAATTCTTTACCTGCAGCGCCGAGAGAAAGAAACACAAAATGACTACGTGTGCAAAGAAGTGAGAAAAACCAAGTGAACCCATTGGAACGCTTACATTCTAGGCAGTTTCAGTGTTTTGTCATAGTAGGCTTTTATAGGGATAACATCAACTTGAAATGTAGTCAACTTCCAAAAACGAATTGAAAGTAATTTCCTGTAGTACACCTGCCCCTGATATTTGTGGTATTACAATCACTTTTTACCATTAATAGATCTGTACCTACTATATATATATATATATACACACCGCTACCTCGATATAACGCTGTCCTTGGGAGCCAAAAAATCTTAACGCGTTATAGGTGAAACTGTGTTATATCGAACTTGCTTTGATCCGCTGGAGTGCGCAGCCCCGCCTCTCCCTCCTCTCCCGGAGCACTGCTTTACCGCGTTATATCCGAATTCGTGTTATATCGGGTTGCGTTATATCGGGGTAGAGGTGTATATATATATATCTTCCCCCTGCCACCTTTATTTCAGAAAAGATCTGCACAGTATCTAGCACAATGGGATGCTGGTCCATGACGAGGGCTCCTTGGCGCTATGAAGATACAAATAATAAACAGCAGAAACTGACCACATCCCTGACCCAGCAAACGCTTATGCACACGTTTAGATCTACACATGAGTCATCCCATTGAATTTAATCGGGATACTCATATGGCTAAGCCCAAGAGTTCAAAGATCATGAGTCAGGCCCCCCAAAATCATTAAACTGGCTTAAAGAAAATCATTATTTTTAATAATACATTGGGGGGGGGGTTATATGCCTTCTCATTTTCAAACATATGAGGTTCATATTTTCACACTTCTCTCTGCAGCCATGAGGGCTGGAAACTTTTCTTTTTTTTTTTTTTTTTTTAAATAAAGCTGAGAAATTTATATAATCTCATGACTCTAAGAGCTGCAGTTTAGGAAAAATTCAGGATACATTTGTGAGAGTTGGCAACACTGCTTTATGCATAAAATTAAACACGGGCAGAAGTATTTGCAGGATCCTGGCCTAACCGATTATACAGGAGAAAAAAATGAAACCAACTATTCATAGAGTGCTATCAAACAGTGCGGGAAATGAAAAAGATTTTTGCTTGTGACCTCTTTCAGTGACAGTTATTTAGGAGTTACTTGTCACAACAATAGCTACAGAAAACAAGAGACCACAATGTGATTTTTTTAATTTGGCATGCCCCGTTAATATCAGTGACTTATTATTATACATTGAGTACAGTGGAGACTACGCTCATCAATCTCCCACCTGAAATACCCTTAAGGAGGCGTATTTAATCCAAGTGTTATAAAAAGGTACAAGAGCATATTAC